TGATGTGGTTTTCTGATGCTTTTGGTCTCTTATTCTGTCCAAAACTGCATTTACAGTTAAAGTTGGAATTATTGGCCGCCCTGAATTATTAGCCCCCGTTTATTTATTTTCCCAATTTCTGTTTAATGGAGAGATTTTTTTTCCAACACATTTCTAAACATAATAGTTTTAAAAACTCATTTCTAATAACTGATTTATTTTATCTTTGCCATGATGATAGCAAATAAAATTTGACTAGATATTTTTCAACACTTCTATACAGCTTAAAGTGACATTTAAAGGCTTAACTAGGTTGACTGGGGTAACTAGACAGGTTAGGGTAATTAGGCAAGTTAATGTATAACGGTGGTTTGTTCTGTATTTAAAAAAATAAATAAATAAATAAATCAAAGGGAGTTTAATCATTCTGACTTCAACTGTACGTACACAGCAAATTCATCAGAGTTAAATTCTCGGTGTTGAAGCATTTGAGAGTAAAGTGTTGACGTTAAAGAGTTAGATTTTGATAAATGAATATAATAAGAGTTAGAATTGATTTTATTCAGTGCGAAATCAAGGAGTTATCTTTTCTACACTTGGTGGTGTTATTTCCGTCACCCGGGAATTTCATGCAGCCCCAGTCACTGAAGAATTTTCCAGACGCCATTTTCCATCTGAGGTTTAGAACAGCAACTGGTGAGTCAAACTACCTAAATGTTGGTATTTTACTGACGTTCTTTAAGGAAATACAGTTGTAAACATATTGTTAAGTTAATAACTTTAGAATGGAGTGACAATTTTAAACTTCTGTGGTTCATTCATGGTCGTTTGTGTATCTAGCTTAACTGCATTACTATTGACTTCTTTTCAAGAATGTTTTTATATATGCTCACGCATACATAGTGCATAAAAACATCAAATGTACATGTTCAGCACATTTCTGTCACGCTTAATGCCATTTTGTGCGTTGTTCCCCATCTGTAAAATAAAATCGACACTTCTCCTTTAATTCGAAGCAAACTAGCGAGGGAATCCCCCGACTCACAAATATGCACGCATACACTCAAACACACATGCCTAGATACACACACGCGCATGCATACACACATGTACAATCACATGCACGCGCGCACACATGCATACACACAAGCATTTTCACACACACAGACACACAAGTATATGCAAACACAAGCACAAAAACACACTCACACTCGCACACTCATGCATTTGTACATGCACACACACACACATGCATGCACACAAGCGTATACACGCACGCAGACACACACAAACACACACACATTTATGTACACACATTCACGCACACACATGCACACAAGCAGATGATTGCACACACACATACATGCATGCAATCACAAAAACACAGATAAACGCACACACATA